GTGTGTGTGTGTGTGTGTGTGTGTGTGTGTGTGTGTGCGTGTGTGTGTGTGTGTGTGTGTGTGTGTGTGTGTGTGTGTGTGCATGTAGGCCGCTAATGAACAGGGAGTCCTTGGTTGACGGGCCTGTCAGCTCTGCTCTCCATTGACGGCAGAGTAATTGGAAGTTTGCCGCCGGGCCTTGATAAAATATTTATTTCATTTGTGCAGACAGCCAGTATAGCCTGTAACGGGGCCTTGGTTGCCGCAGCAACCGCACTCTCTCCTGTCAGACTGCTGGTCTGCGAGATGTCCAGAGGTCCAGCGTGGCCCTCGAGGGGCCCATCCGGCGCACAGGAGCACACGGGCCCCGCCGTGGTGTAGGGCGGACGTGTGTGAGGCGCAGGGCGGGCCTGAGTCGGCAGCTGTCAGCGCTGGGTGTGCAGTGAGTGTGGGACTTGTGTGGGGGTCCATCCCTGTGTATGACTGTATAGGTCTGTGTCTGATTGTGTGTGCATGCATGCATGTGTTTGTGTGTCTATCGTGTAAATTCCATGTGCAGTATCACTCTCACGTATTCAGGTGAACCATGTGGCTTTGCACGCCCCACTGGATCCTCCCACTGCCGCCCTGAATCGGTAGATCAGAGCTGTTCCAGATCTTTTTGTACCACCCACCCCCACCACCCCCGACCCTCTGCAAGAGAATCACGACAGTGTTACAGTGAATGAGCAGCTCTGGTACAGCTCTGTGTGCAGTATCCTTGTGGTGCCATGCTGCTACTCCCTCCATTAAATACAGTGTGTGTGGGGTGGGGGGCTCGGTCTGTCAGATGTCTTAACCACATCGTGATCCTCAGTGAGCCAAGGCCCTCCACTGGGTGCCAGAGATACGGAGCCATCGAGCGCCATGTCTGAGGTTGACGGTGGCTCTTTGTCCTCCACACAGCGTGGGGGCGCCGTAACGCTCATTAAGCCTGCAGATGGGCGCCTCCAGCCGATTCCTCCTCCTTACCGGAGGTCAGTGATGCTGCCCGGCTTCTCTCCTAGAACAAACAGGCACAGAGAGACACGCGCGCAGTGCTGTATGCCGTATGCCAGCAGAAAGGTGGACAGGCAGTACAGGCTAAGTCTCCTCCCCAGAGGTAAAACAGTATGATGTATCACGGGGGCATGACCTTCTGGGTAGAAGTCTAATCCCTTACCTGTTATCTGCTACCTGTGGATGACTGTGTTCCCCTGCAGCTCTGGGACAGGGATGCTATTTGTTAGCATGTTAGTCACACCTGTTCGGCCGGCGAGCTAACATGATACCGACTTCTGATTGGCTCTGGAGTTCACTGGAGGCCCCGCCTCCATAATGAGCCTTTTCCCACTGCAGCGATTCACTCCTCACTGTTATAGAAAGGTTCTGAAATATGGCCCACAGGATTGTTCTTTGATGCTGGGGGGGGGTATGATGATGAAAGGGACCATGAATGAAAATATGAGCTTGCTAACAATGCCGTTAACGTTCTACTTGGTCCGTCGCCCGGTAACATCAGCTGGTGACTTGCTGCTGTTATGTGACACGCGCTCCATTATGACCTTTGTCTAACTGGTCATTTAAGGGGCAGCTGGAAAGCCTTGTGTGTCCATAAAACATTTTATTCATCTCCTTGGGTCCGCAGTCACGGTCCCCGCTGGGCCAGTGGCGCCGAGTCTGCTGCGGCATCGACCCTCTTCCGGCTGGATATCAGCGCAGCCGTGGTGTGTGTGGCCCTTCCCGCAAAGGTGTTACTCTTAAACACACCGCTAGGGTGTGGTGTCGAGGCCTGTCACGATAGGACTGGTGGTCTTGAGCTAGAGGTCCGCTTGAACTGAGCTCTGGATTCTGGGTGTATCTTCAGAAGTGCAGACTGCAAGGAAGTTCTATTATAATAATGATAATAATAATAATAATGATAATAATAATAATAATGATAATAATAATAATAATGTTTTATATAGCACCTTTCACAAACCAAAGGTCATTTTACAAGGAGAAGAGAATAATCAAGCAATACAGAGAGAGAAATGTCCATTAAATAGGAAAGTTCTGAGCTTTTCCATGCGCACATACGTGACGTGTCACTGAAACAGCTGACAGAATACAATGGCGATTCTTCCCCGGGGGGGTTGTCTGGTTGGCAGTCCCGTCTTGCCCTTCATGAGACGCTGGTTCGGCCAGCTTCCTGTACCCCTGGAAAGTTTTGGGGTGCACTGCCCTGTCAGCCCTGAGATTCAAACTGTGACCTTCCGATACGAGTCCTAACCTGCTGAGCCGGGCACCGCCCCCTGATGGTGTTGTGGTGAATGTGCGCGTGTTAGGTCAGCCACCGGTGGGTTTATTGAATTCGACTTATTATTATTATAATTAATAAAATGAAGTATTTATATTAGTGTAAGCTGTGGGTAGCCAGGGGCCTGGTCCACGGCAAAGCCAGGTAAGAAACTCATCCATTCCTGCCCCTCGTTACCAGTCAATTAAGACAAAGTTCTTTGTTTTTTTTCCACCAAAAATGAGACCAAATCTTGGTTCCTGCCCCCCAGCTCCTCCCCATCGGCTGGATAATCCCACCTCCACTCCTGTCTCCGAATACAAGTCTACATTCCTTCCTCCCCTCCCTATGCCGCTCGGAGCGAGTTTCACAATTAATTTTAATCCAATCCCATTAACCTCTAATCCAGACCCGAATATTCCCATTGGTTCCTGAGCAGCGCTGCCGCGCGGCGGTGACACAGTCCTTATTTACAGAAACCCTCCCCCCCCGAACATATGGCTTTATCTCCGACCCGGAGTCGTGTGCCACAAACTCTAAATGCAATTATAACTTTAATGTTCCCACTGCAGTTTTTTTTTCCTTTCATATTTTTCTGCACCATATTTCTTGCCGCTCCCTTGTTTCCCAAAAGCTGCTTTTGTCACTATGTCCCCATCGTTCGGTTCGCCGTAGGCACGGACCAGGATCAGTTTTTTTTTCTGTGGAGATTGTTGTGACCGTCGAGGCAGAAAGCAGCCCAGTGGCGATGGCTTCTCTAGCCAGGGGCGCCAAGATAATGACTCTTCTGCTTTCTCTCCCTGCCTCTTTTTTTTTTTTTTTTTTTCCAGGACCTGCTGGCGAATCGCGGATGAAGCTGAGAGCTCAGGCCTCGTCTGTGTCCCCAGAGCCGGCGGTGGCCTCTCGTCACGGCCGGAAACCATGCTGCCGAAAGCATGCCTTCTCTCTCCGCGTGTTTTTTTTGACACTGGATTGTATTATCATGATTTATTTTAAATCTGCTCTGCTCCATCGATCAGGCTTTAATAAATCCCTCCAGTCCTTAAGAAAGCGGGCTGAAGACGATTCTTTTTTTTTTTGTGTGTGTGGTTATCGTCATTGGTGTGTGACGCCTGAATTTTATTAGCAGACTCAGGAATGCTGGACACATCACCCCTATGGATCATGTATATTTACGATATAATTAAACTATAGTTGTAAGAAAACAATTCTTGCAATTATCTGGATTTCTGTGTGTATGGCTTCCAAAATGTGATCTGATTTTCATCAAGTCGTAATAATATGTAAATCTAACAAATACACAGAATTTTATATTGCCCTGTCCTTATTGAACAAATGGTTTAAACTCTTAAGATCATTGATGGAAAGCTTATGTGAACATCTAAGATGATTACCTCTTGAAAAGAATGTAATTGGAGACAGGTGTTCCAGTCAGTTCCGGTGTGAGTTCAACCTGTCTGGCAGCATATAAAACCACACAATGTTGGTAACCTGCTCGTCAAAGCAGGAGGCTGTAAAGTTTTCTATGGCCGAATTTCAGGGGCTAGAAATAGAAGAATTATTAAAGCCTAAGGGAGACTGAAAGGGTTAACCGCATTGTGGTACATCAAGTCAAAAACCCATTTAGCAATACCGGAGACTTGTTCCTTAATGGCAGGATTTCTTGCTTAGCCAGATAACTTCTTGGATTTAAGGTACCCCAGTTTAAATGGCCTTTCTCTTCCTTCAATTACATTTAGCACAGGCTACCTTAAATCCAACAAGTTATCCATCTAAGCAACAAATCCTGCTTTCTGAAACATGCCCCAGTTCTTTCCAGGATCATTATTAGACATCGTTAGCAATATCACTTTATAGCAACATATTATGCAGTATTTTGTGCATGCAAACAGTGTAGCAACAGTATGACTAATTTAATGAGCCGCAAATAATATATAAATGCTAATAAACACTATAAAACTACAGCTTTCACTTCTGTTGATGAAAGGTGCAGCTGTCTTGAATTCTGAGGTCTGGGTTGCCGAGGTTCTGGCTTCAGGCAGTGTTCCAATTGAAATTTCCAACTTGGATCTAGGAAGTTTAACTTGATGTACTTAAAGCTGTAAACATGTTCATTGTGTTTAGCAAAAACAAAACGCAGTGTACCAACACCAATACCTCAGCCATGAAGCATGGTGGAGGGAATTTAGTGGTGTGAGGTTCTGTTACTGCCTCGGGGTCTGGAAAGCTTACAATCATCAATGGACCGATGAATCCCAAGTCGTATCAAGAGAAATCCTACAGCAGAATGTCAGGGCGTCCGTCTGTGATCCAAAACTCTAAAGAAGTTTGACTCAAAATGCAGGAGCAAAACTCAACATCAGAGAGACTCATAAGAAATTCCGGGCTTTAGAATGGCTGAGAGAGAGAGTCCTGACCTCAAACCCCGTGGAAAAGCTGTCTGATCAGAAGCAGGCGACTCAAGGAAGACCTTCAAAAAAATATGCAAGTTTTATGTAGACGAATATCGTTTCCAGTAGCTATGCGAACCAAATCAGCAGCTAAATATAAGGATTCATATACTTCACTGTTTTTGTTTCTCACAAAGGTATGTGCATCACGGAGATTGTGGCCATATTTCATCCTGTTGTTTCCAAAGACTGGAACTGTACAACTGGGTCCAAAAGCCCCAAACGACAAATGCCATTTGTTCTTCATACACGTCTTGTAGGACAGGATGACAGCGCTGTGCATGCCGTCCTTTTTGTGGCCGCCAGTGCCACAGCACATTTATTTATTCCTCATGTCTGCTGTTGTATGACAAATTTTCAATGTTTGTTTAACTGCTGTGGAGACCTACCTTTTGTCGTCCTGCTCTGAGTTGTTCTCCTCCAGGTGAGCTGAGGACAATCTGGGATGACGTGGACTAGGACTAGCTGCTCTCCATTTTAAGCAGGAATGACTTGTACCTCTTCCCCTTCAGCATACACTAGTTTTCCACTGACAGGATGAAGAACCCGTCACCCTAACTGCACATGGTACAGGTTAGTACAGTATTTAAGTGAACATGCCCATGTAGTACAAACTTCCCATAAATTCCTTCAGGCTTACTTGGAAAGCCTCATAGACGTGGAAACTGCTTCATTAGGCCATGATTAGTTTCTGTATTTGTCAGAATGTATGGAAGGGTCTAGTCCTGTTTAACAAATACACATTTAACCAGTTGCAGTTACTCCTCCAGTCCACAGGAGGCAGTCACAGCATTGGCCGGATTGTGATCACATCCAGACAGGTGGCACCAAGGCAGGGCCAGAATTAATTTTAGGGTAATGACCCCTTCTGGAGAATGCTGTCCATTACCTCTGGGACCCTGTTCCACCCCCACGTTGAATTACGCCCTGTAAGTTATAATTTTTATTAGTTTCACACAGGCTGGCAGGGGCCTGTCAAATCAATAAGGAGGCAAGTAATCATTTCAGGTGGCAGAGAGCGGAGTCACTGTTTAGGATCTGCCAGAGCAGAGTGGAAAACATGATTAACACATGACCTCTGCCTGAAATTCATCAGTCCTAATGAGGAGAGGCTTCATGGAGCCGGGAGCTGCAGAGCGATCACAGCGGCCCTACGGCATGGAGCAGACGTCTGGGCGTGTGTCACCGGGGGCCTCTCAATCCCTCCTTCAACCCTGGGGAGGCGCTAACTGGGGCATGAGGCACCAACCAGGCAGGAGGAAGCTAACGGTAGCGAGTTGCTAATCAGCTATCGAGGCCCTCAGCAGCCTTTAACTTAAAGCTGGGGGTGTTAAACGCAAACCTGTGATTTCAGCAGTAGGCTGTGACTTCTTTTACTGTATCCCTCACCAGGAGAAGGAGGCTGGAGATGGGGGGGTGGTGGATGAGTACAGTCCTAGATGGAATTTAGTTCAAAGTAAATTCTAAATAAAATACAGAATTTCAGGTTTTTTTAAAACAAAAAAAAATGTACAATTGCAGTAAATAGTTAGAAGCTTCTGCACAATCTGGCAGAATGTGGAGGGACAAAGCCTTTACGGAAAAAAGGCAGAGGAGAAAAGCAGAGTGACTTACCTTTATTACACAAGCAAGGCGGCACACAGACCTGAGGACAGTCCAAAGAGAGACGACAGAAGGTAGGAAGGAAGGGAGGAAGTGGTAAGGTCAATTCAGCACCCTTTGCATGGAGGAACGCCAGCCCGATAGGAGAACCAAAGCCAGGAAAAGCTCCTCAGGCATTAGTCCAGCTGATGGAGCGATAGCACAGAAAGTGGAGGTCTGCTTTTCAGACGTATTTCTGTCCACTGCTCCCAGAGGACCCTCCCACCCTCATCTCTGTGTCCTATATTGCCTTCGCCCACGGAAGAAGGGTCAGGCGATCTTGTTTTTTTTGCAGACTGCCGTGAGACGGTGGCGCGTCTACGGCAACTGGGAGCCGGCGATATGCGGACCACGGTGAGGGCTGGCCAGCTGAGATTCGGTGAGCTGCAATTAAAGCGGGGTACGGCCGTTTTTTTCCCATTAGGTCTTTAATACAAACACCCCCCTGTAGGTTTCCCGGCATTTTTAAAGGAGACCCCCCTTGAGCAAACAGCAGGGGGCTATACTGCTTTATTAAAAGTGTGGAGGGACTTTTCTGTGGCTCTGGAAGCCAGGAGGAGGCAGGAATATTTTGTGAGCACAGGGGTCTGTAGGTAAGGCTGCTCTACCCAGGTGACATTTCTCCTCAAATACCACAAGGTATTGAGCTGCTGCTGTCACTTATTACTTTTGCCACATAAGGTATGGAGAGGGAATAATTAAACCAGGGATGGGAACCTGTTCCATGGAGGGCCGGTGCGGGTTTTTGGGATGGCCTCTCAATCACCCAATAATAAAACAGTGGTTCTTAACTCCAGTGCTGGGGACCCACTGTGATTGGCTGATAGAGAGGTCATCCCAAAAACCCGCACCCACACTGGCTTTCCATGGAACAGGTTCGCCACCCATGAATTAAACAGACCATGGAGGGACCCCCTTTCCCAGCTGATGGCCTGCTTCTTGCACTCCTTCGCCCAGCATGTTCCTGACTGGCAGCTTGGACCTCCTCAGACCGTATCAAGGCTGAGACCAGTGGACTGAGAGCGGGTGATACTCTTCTGCTCAGCGCTTGGCCGCTGCCTCGTTTGGGTCAGGAAATGAAAGCTCCCCGCCGTAGGTGTGTGCGGTTTGGCCATCCCTGCACCCAATGGATGGAATGTACCCTAGTGAGAGCCGTGTGTGTATATACTGTATATGGGGTGTTTCTCAATACCAAGGGAGCGGCGATGGCACCTTGATAACTTGCTAATTTGGGTTGCAATGAATCATGGTTATATATTACATTGTGGAGGCCAAATATTGCCACAATGTGATAAAAGCCTGTTATTTTGACATCGTGGGCACCATCGTTTCAGTCCCCAGAAGGGGCAACTCAATTTTATAAAAATTTGGGACTGCAATAAAAACCAGAAATTACAAATGTCTTGAATTTTGTTTGGTTTTATATATATATACACACAGCTCTGGGAAAAAATCAGCATTTTTAAATCTTGATTTAATCATTATTCTGCTGTAAGAAGGTAACTCTGAGCAGCAGGTTGCTTCCAGGCTCAACATGTCTAAGACAGCAGTGCACAAGAACCAGGTGAAGCAGGAGACACTGTGAACGACCAAAAACCAGCCAGGTAGGGGGCAGAAGCGACTTTCTAATACCAGAGATGACTGCCATCTTGTCCGGCAGTGCCTCATAAATTGGAGAATGACATCAAGTGACCTTCAAAAGAAATGGGAAACATTAAGTGGTGTGAAGTGCACAGCTAGGACAGTGTGTATCAGGCTCCGAGAAACAGGACTGAAGTCCCATAAAGCAAGGAAGAAGCCCTTCATTAGTGAGAAACAGGGTAGAACCAGGCTACAATTTGCAAAAAAAAATATGTATATTGTACACATGTGCATAACCTTAAATTGAGGAATGAGTGAAACTGAAAATTTTGCTGTGGTCTCAATTTTTTCCACAGCTGTGTGTGTGTGTACACATATTCTGGTAAAAGGTTTGAGTACAATTAGTAGTAGCTCTTTCACAATGTTTTGCCTAGATTTTTCATGTATCACATATATCTTTGAGAGATGTAAGATGAAGAAGCACATTACATTATACAAAACAAAAGATGGGGAGCACTAAGACAGTGTTAAAAAACAGAAAATTGTCTCTAAAT